GCAAGAAGGTCACTGGGTCCCTGGTTCGAACCTTGGCTCAGGTGGTGTTTCCGTGTGGAGTTTGCATGTTCTCCCTGCCTTCGCGTGGATTCCCCCACAGTCCAAAGACATGTGGTACAGGTGAATTGGGTAGGCTAAATTGTCCATAGTGTATGAGTGTGTGTGTGTGGAGGTTTCCCAGAGATGGGTTGTGGCTGGAAGGGCATCCGCGTTATAAAAACTTGCTGGATAAGTTGGCGGTTGATTCTGCTGTCGCGACCCCTGATTATAAAGGGACTATGCCAACAAGAAAATAAATGAATAGTAACATTTAACTTTGTTACGCTATGAACTTAATCTTAGGAAAGGCAAAAATAAATGAATAAAATTAAAACCTTTGTAACGAAATTCAAGACTTTGTATACCAAATTTAACGCTATTAAGACCTTAATTGGAAATTTTCAAATTTTAAAAGACTTTTTCAATGCTTTTAAGACTCTGCGGGTACTCTGAATTAACAAAAATTGGATTTGTGAATTTAAGAATTGTGCTACATCCAGAGACCTAAGGAGATCACTAAATGTGTCCCTTTGGGGCAGTGGGTTTCTTTGAATACTACATGTTTTAATGCAACCAAGTTAATCAATGGTTTTTAACCCTTATAACAGATGAATACTTTTGTATGTGTCTGAAATGTATGTTGTCTGGTACTAAATAAAAGCTAGTGATATTTGCAATACATTAGTGTAAATGAAAAACTACTATCATAAATAGTATTCATCTTGTAACATTTGATGTAAGATAGTAACAAACTTACAACATATTTTACCACATGAAATTACCAAGCAGTCTTTTATTGACTGAGCATAATGGTATGGAGCGTGGGCCCGCCCTCCATGGCAACTGCTCATTGGAAGTAAGTGCAATTGGGGTGGACCAAACCAGATCACTTAAAAACCTACTGCAACAGTAAAACTTGGCTTTTTTCATTAGCTCGCTCATGATCGCTGTTGCTTTGCCCCCTTTGCCTTGCTCTCGGACACTGCTCCATCATGCAATCAGATCGCAAAGAACTTTCCATGCAACACCAAAACCGCAAAAAAAACTTCTGCAAATCGACCCTCAGCAGAGTCTGTAAATCCCAAGATTGTCACTGAAGCCGAGACACAAACCAATCAGGAAAGCATGTTTCATCAAGGCCAGTTGGCGAAGGAAACTCAAACAAATGTTTTTGCTGATCTGGAGCAAATTGATCTTAAGCAGTTAAAGACAAGCCAAATTTTTGCTTTTGTGGTTTCTCAGGTGTGATTCTAAGATCTAGTATTAAGAGCTGAAATTAATTTGGGACGATTGCCAACTTATTTTAAACAAGCACCAGAATTGAAAACCACTGCTCTGAGGTACTCAAAATACTCAAATACTCAAAAATTAGGGGTGTCAATGTTAATTGTTTCTTCGGTGCACCGCGATGCAGATGCGAACAATTCAGTATTGGTTCAGTAATAATCATAACCGGTTATTGTGTCCTGACCTCATTTATCTCATATGCGCTATGGCGAGAGCGAATATTTACAATGCTCCAACTACTTAAAACTCAGAAACTGTGCACAATTTTACTGCGTGTGGGTTTGCTGGATTTGTCTTTCACTGACACAGCAGAAGCCCCTATTTCACTGCAATTGAGAGAATGAAATTAAACTCCATTTCTTTCTCTCTTACTGTGGAGCCCATTTGACCTGCTGGCGTGACTTTTCCTCTCGTCTCGGCTGTTTTACAGCGATACTTCTGGATATAGACATGAGCGCGTGACTGCAGAGTTTTCTTCGCCATTTCTATCATAGATCAGCTGCGATCGCCGCTGCCGCCTGCCTCTATCAGTGTAACTCATCTGTGAAGAGCGCAGCACACAAGCGTCAATCGCAGCCCTTTGTGTTGAGGGTGTGATCAATCAAAGGGGTGTAAGAGAACTAGACAAGGATCAGAAAGAGAGCGGGATATTTATGTTTGTTTAAATTAATTGCTTTAAATGCTTGTGTTCTATATCTGACTGTATGTAATGACAAAATTGTATTACAAATAGTATATAAATAAACATATACTTATACATTTTAATACAAAAATTGCTGCTGTGAAGAAAATATAACACTGTGTATGGAAAGCACCATCGATGCACCGTGATGCACCGAGATATCGAATTGAACTGAATCGATGGCATGATAATAGTAACCGAACCAAACCGTGAGACCAGTGTAGGTTCACAGCTCTAAAAACTATCATACTCAAAATGAATTCCATTCCTAAAGTTACTTCTCTATTTTAGTATTTGCCTGTAAATTTTTCTTTACAATATTTAAAACAGTTTGAAAATTAAGTCAATTTCTTTGGAACAATAAGAACCCTTGGTTGCATAGGAGTACATTGCAAAAGCCAGTTAATAAAAAAGGGTTGGGGTTTCCTGAGCATTTACTTCATTATTAGGCCTTTATTCTGAGACATCTTACACACTGGTCCATGCCTCCTGAGAGAGCTCCATCTTGGTTTATAGTTGAAGTTGCCATCCTACTTCCCCTTCTAACACTACAATATCTATCCATCCATCTATTTATTCATTTTATTTAGTAAATGTGTTATTTTTAGGCTGATCTCAAAAATATATGTTTTACTGCCAGAATTTTAGGTGCAGGCTTGGATTGTCTGCCATTTGCAGATAACATCCTTTTGGATTCATAGGACATGGACCTTCAGCATGCAGTGGGAGGGTTTGCTGCTGAGTGTGACATGGCAGGGAAAGAAACAGCACCTATAAGTCAGAAACCATAATGCTTGACTGGAAAAAGGTGGCCATCTGCAGTTTGGAGGAGAGTCCTCACCCTAAATGGAGTATCTGCATTTTTTTTTTCTTTTTCATGAGGAATGGAATGTGAGATTTAAAGATGGATCAGTGCAGCGGCAGCAGTAATGCAGTTGATTTGATTGTCTGTTGTGGCAAAGGAGCTGAGACGAAAGGCAGTGTTCTCAATTTACTATTCAATCTAGGTTCCTTCTCTCACCTATGGTCATGACTGAAAGGCCAAGATCTCAAATACAACTGGACATTGTATTTTTACAAAGTGTTATGACCCGCTTGTTTGAGTCGCAACATAAAAGAGAGATGAGCCAACAAAATAGCCTGAATGCTAATTATTTATTCTAATTAAAGAATTTAGCATATAATCACAACAACACTTTACCTACATGATACAAGAAATGCAAAACAAAACCATAAAGTTAAAGAGTCAATAAAATGGCAGGTCTTGACAAAAGGACTCCTGAGTAGTCACAGCGTCCTGGGGTAGCTAACACAACAACTGTTATAAACCCATTGAGGAGTAATGCAGGCATCCAATCAGGATTTACCACATACTCCAATCTAAAGTCTTGGGATCATCACAGTGTATTCATATTGTAAAACTTAATACCTGTCGCTCTGCCTAAATCATACAATATTCATCAAGTTTGTGTTTTACTCAAAAAAAGTAAATGTAGTAAACTAGAAAGAATCTTGAATCTAAAAGTAAAGAAACTTTACTAATAAAAGGATGATTAGTTTCTCATTTAGGGAGTCAGACAAAGAACATTATCGAAAACAACACTAGCTACATGAATACAATGGAGAGTACAGTTGTATCCGCACCTGTACAATCACTTGCAAAAAGATTTTAGGCAGCAGAGGTGCTGTTTGCCAGATGTTTATGAAACTGTTCTTCTCTCTTTCACCATCATTGTGTTTACGGTAAACGCGAGGAGCGCTACACATTTACAACCCCAGTATACCGTCACTCAGCCTTTAAAACATCCAGACATGAAACATCCTTTGCACAGGAAAAAATGTTTTGTTGCATTCATGTCATGTGTGCAACTTTTTGTCCATGTGTTTCTTGAGCTGTGCCAAATAAGCAAAACTCTGTAAACACTGATAAGATCTGTACGGTTTCTCTCCACTGTGAATCCTCTACTGTTTTGAGATGTGTTAACTGATTAAACCTCTTGTCACACTGTGAACACTTGTACGGTCTCTCCAGTGTGAATCGTCTGGTGCAGTTTCAATTTTGGATCTGTAATAAAAGTCTTCTTACACACAATGCACATATACTCTTTCACACCAGTGTGGATCTTCATGTGTTCATTAAGGTTTGCTGATCGGTTGAAACTCTTTCCACACTGAGTTCATGTGAATGGTTTCTCTCCAGTGTGGGTCATCATATGTTTATTAAAGGGCCATGAAACCCCCCTGTTTCAGCAGGATTTTTCAAACCTCTAGTTTAAAAAAGTCAGGAAAGTGGATGTGTCTAGCTACTTTTAGGTGGGAGTGTAGGGGGAGGGAAAGAGAGAAGGATTTGAATAAAAATGGGAGTTTGCATTTGGGCACGCGCTGATTTTCACCGAGGCAAAACAAACAGATGCAGACGCAGGTGAGAAAGACAGTGACGGTTTACATGGACATCTGTGACTGACTGTTTTATGACAGTGGAATGTTTGATACCGCACATTGTATAAGAGAAAAAAAAACTGCATTTCTCTGTAACTGAGATGCACTCAGTAGGTCAGAAAGCTGTGCGTGTATCAGTGTCTACAGAGTGCGTGTAGTCCTGTCAAAAAACACGTTTACATGTTTACACTCAGAGAGCAGCATTTACAGCAAATCTTTTAGTCCATAATATTGTAGTGATATTAACGTACTGTCTTTAAACAATTCCTCTTCTCCCACTTGTTTTGGCAACCCAACTAGTCGTCTCTCTGCCGTCTGAATACTGTTTCAGGTAAAACAGTCTTCAAAGCTATCATGCATATTAATGAAGTTGCACCGCATACACAATAGAGCGCACTGATTGGTTTGAACAAAGTCTTTCTCATGAATGAATTCAGTACACTCAGAGACAACATGAAATACTCCCAGGTACAGACAGACAGTCTACATGCTGGAATAGACGCAAGGAAGTTTATGGGTAGAAAAGTCCAGTGTGACCGCGGCTTAAGTGCATGTGAATGGTTTCTTTCCAGTGTGGATCTTCATGTGTTGATTAAGGTATGATGAGCGGCTGAAACTCTTCCCACACTGAGTGCATGTGAATGGTTTCTCTCCAGTGTGGGTCTTCATGTGTTGATTAAGGTTTGATGATTGGCTGAAACTCTTCCCACACTGAGTGCATTTGAATGGTTTCTCTCCAGAGTGTATTCTCATGTGGTGATCAAGGTGTGATGATTGGCTGAAACTCTTCCCACACTGAGTGCATTTGAATGGTTTCTCTCCAGTGTGGATCATCATGTGTAGATTTAAGTTTGATGATTTGCTGAAACTCTTCCCACACTGAGTGCATGTGAATGGTTTCTCTCCAGAGTGGATTCTCATGTGGTGATTAAGGTGTGATGATAGGCTGAAACTTTTTCCACACTGAGTGCATTTGAATGGTTTCTCTCCAGTGTGGATCCTCATGTGTACATTAAAGTTTGATGATTTGCTGAAACTCTTCCCACACTGAGGGCATGTGAATGGTTTCTCTCCAGTGTGGATCCTCATGTGTTGATTAAGGTATGATGAGCGGCTGAAACTCTTCCAACATTGAGTGCATGTGAATGGTTTCTCTCCAGTGTGGATTCTCATGTGGTTATTAAAGTGTGATGATTTGCTGAAACTCTTCCCACACTGGGTGCATGTGAATGGTTTCTCTCCAGTGTGGATCCTCATGTGATGTTTAAGGTGTGATAAGCAGCTAAAACTCTTCCCACACTGAGTACATGTGAATGGTTTCTCTCCAGTGTGGATCCTCATGTGTTGATTAAGGGATGATGAGTAGCAAAAACTCTTCCCACACTGAGTGCATGTGAATGGTTTCTCTCCAGTGTGGACCCTCATGTGGTAATTAAGGTGTGATGAGCTGCTAAAACTCTTCCCACACTGAGTGCATGTGAATGGTTTCTCTCCAGTGTGGACCCTCGTGTGGTAATTAAGGTGTGATGAGCTGCTAAAACTCTTCTCACACTGAGTGCATGTGAATGGTTTCTCTCCAGTGTGGACCCTCGTGTGGTAATTAAGGTGTGATGAGGTGCTGAAACTCTTCCCACACTGAGTGCATGTGAATGGTTTCTCTCCAGTGTGGATCATCATGTGTCGATTAAGGGATGATAATAGGCTGAAACTCTTCCCACATTGAGTGCATGTGAATGGTTTCTCTCCAGTGTGGATCCTCATGTGTAGATTACGGGACGACGATAAGCTGAAACTCTTCCCACAGTGAGGGCATGTGAATGGTTTCTCTCCAGTGTGGATCATCATGTGTAGATTAAGGTGTGATGATTGGCTGAAACTCTTCCCACACTGAGTGCATGTGAATGGTTTCTCTCCAGTGTGGATCATCATGTGAATCTTAAGATTGCCTTTTCTTCCAAAACTCTTTCCACACTGAGTGCAGGTGAAACGATTCTTGTCTCTCCTTTTTAAAATACCATCAGTCTGTAAAAAAGTTTCTTCCTCAATTTTGACATGATTTTCCTCCTGTTTACTCCCCTCGTTCTCTTCAATTAGGTCTGAAATAAAAAAAAAATTAAACATTAGTTTTCATTAAGTCTTAAGTCATCTTTATTTATCTAGTGCTTTTACAATGTAAATTGTGTCAAAGCCACTTAACAGAAGTTGTAGTAAATTTGAACTGTGTCAGTCCAGTTTTCAGAGTTTCTTACATAATTGATCATAAAAGTCATTTTGGTCATATTGATAAGACACAGATTTGAAAGCTGTAAATGGCCTATTTTTATTCCTATATATTCACAATTACAACAAAATGTTTTCCTAAAATGTGTAAAGCAAACGCTCTGGTTACTAAAGTAACCCACGGAAATGCTATTAGTGGATTTGATTCAGAAAATCCACATATTGAGAGGATTCGGTTCAGAAGGCACTTGTCTGAAAGAGTATGGAATGGGCCAATGAATGCCAATGAATTGGCAGCGTAAGCTTGCGCAGTTGTGCTTCATTGCCAATTAACCCAGCATATAAGTACAGGTGGAGCAAGCAGACGTTATCCTTTTTAGCTGAAGAGACTTTGCTAACAGCTAAGGGACAGTCATTATGGCGATGGTAAATAGCATTTCCGTTCCGAGGGTTACTTTAGTAACCAGAGCGTTCCCCTTCGGGTGGGGAACTCCAATGCTATTAATGAATTTGATTTAGAAAATCCACGTATTGGGAGAACTGTGGACAACGCCATAATGACTGCACCTTACCAATGCCTCCGATGAGAGGATAGTCAAGCAAGCGTGACGCACCCACATCATGGGAGGCGCGGTCCTCCAACGTGTCCCTGGCCCTAACTTATCCCACTTCAACAGAAGTTTTACGGATTTAGGTATATTTTTTGGGTAGTCGTGAGCGTGTAGATAATTCTAGGAAATTATGACAGTACGTTGGGAAGCATGCAATCCTGATAGGTAGGATGCTGTGGAGGCCATCAGCTACCCAATGGGAGAGATAAGATGGCAAGATTACATATGGACTAGCCCTAAGAAGGGGGAGTGTGCATAAGAAAAGGGTTAGCGGAGAGGGAAGACACGGGTCCACCCGAGAGGGGGGACTGAACCGTGGCGAAATAGGCATATAGGATCACAATGTAGTGGGCCAGCAAGTGACTCCTCAGCTGAGTCAGTGCTGGGGGCCACGGAGGAATCTGCAGGGCTCACCTGACGGGGAACTTTACTGACAGATAAAAAGGCACAAAAATCTCTGTGTTAGGGAGAATGGCGCAGGAAGCGTGTTTCAACACCCTACCGAGTTATTTCCTCAATCACCAAAGGGTTACCTAATACCCTTGAGGAAACCGGCTCCACTTGCAGATTGTATAACCTTGCAAATGTGTTGGATGTCGTCCAGCCCGCAGCTCTGCAGATGTCTGTTAGAGAGGCGCCGCGTGCATGCGCCCAAGAGGATGCAACGCTCCGAGTGGAGTGTGCAAGCACTCCCGGGGACACGGCTCACCTCGACTTGAATAAGCGAGTGAAATGGCATCCACAATCCAATGGGATAATCTTTGTTTCGATATGGCACTTCCCTGCTGCCGACCACCATAACAGACAAAAAGCTGCTCAGATGATCTAAAGTACTCAGTAAGGTCCATATAGATGCGCAGAGCGCGAACTGGACAAAGTAAGGAAAGGGCGGGGTCTGCCTCCTCCGGGGGCAGCGCTTGCAGGTTCACTACCTGATCTCTAAAGGGGGTGGTAGGAACCTTGGGCACATAACCCGGGCGGGGTCTCAGGATAACGTGAGAGTAATCCGGCCCGAATTCCAGGCACGAGTCACTGACCGAAAATGCCTCCAGGTCCCCGACCCTCTTGATGGAGGCCAACGCGACCAGCAAAGCTCGAGTGATTCAAAGGGATCTGTGATTCGAGTGATTCAAAGGGATCTGTGCGCAAACTTGTGAGAACGAGGGCGAGATCCCAAGAGGGCATGAGAGGGGGGCCGGATGGATTAATTCGCCTAGCACCTCTGAGGAACAGGATGATGAGGTTAGGCTTTCCCACGGTGCTGCCAGCTTCTCTTGAAGGAAAGAGAGCACAACACTGATCTGGCAGTCTCAGGGGTCTTCTCTGTGAGAGATGCACCATTCAGTGAATAGACTCCACTTCAGGGCGTAGGCGTGCCTCATGGAGGGGGCTCTAGCCTGAGTGATGGTATTAACCACCGCACTCGATAAGTTAAGTCTTCCTCGCGTCTAATGACCACATGTGGAGGTTCCAAAGATCGGGGCGAGGGTGTTAGATGGTGCCCTGTCCCTGAGAGAGTAGGTCCTCTCTCAAAGGGATCCGCCAGGGGAGGGCCGTCGCGAGGAGGGAGAGCTCTAAAATCCAGGTCCGGTTGGGCCAGAGGGGTGCAACTAGCAGAACCTGTTCCTCATCCTGCTTGACCTTGCACAGTAACTGCGCGAGCAGGCTCACTGGGGGAAACACATACTTGCGCTGCCCCGAAGCCAGCTGTGGGCCAGTGCATCCGTGCCGAGAGAGCCCTTGGTCAGGGAAAAAAAGAACAACGGGCAATGAGCGATCTCGGGGGAAGCAAACAGATCGATCTGGGCCTCCCCGAATCACGCCCATATCAGCTGAACAGACTCGGGGTAGAGTCTCCATTCTATGAGGCGTATCTGCTGCCGTGAGCACATCGGCTGCACGGTTGAGCGTGCTTGGAACGTGAATGGCGCGCAGCGATTTCAGCCGTGGGTGACTCCAGAGGAGCAGACGGAGGGTGAGCTGAGACATTCGGCGAGAGTGCATACCCCCTATATGGTTGATATACGCCGCCGTACTGTCCATCCTGACCAGCACGTGTTGCTGCTCCAGCACTGGAAAAAACCGGTGGAGAGCGAGGAACACTGCCAACAGCTCTAGGCGGTTGATATGCCAATGCAACTAGGCACCCTTCCACAGGCCCGCGGCTGCATGCCCACGACACACGGCCCCCCAGCCCGTGTTGGAAGCATCTGTTGAAACAACAACATGACTGGACGCCTGTCCTAGAGGCACACCGGCCTGTAGGAACGAGGGGTCATTCCAAGGGCTGAGGGCGCGGCGACACAACGCAGTAACAGAGACTCGGTGTGTGCCATGCGCGTCTTGGGACTCAATCGTAAAGCCAGTGATGTGTGGCTGCGTGACGGCGGCTGCGGATGCCATATACCCCAGGAGCCTCTGAAAGAGCTACAGTGGGACCACTAGTTTGCCGTCGAGCTCTCTCAGACAGTCCAGCAACAGGCGAGCGTGTTCCCTGGAGAGGTGTGCTACCATGGTAACCGAGTCCAGCTCCATCCCGAGAAAAGAGATCCTCTGCACGGGGGCGAGTTTGCTCTTTTCTGGGTTGACCTGAAGCCCCAACAGGCGGAGGTGCCTAAGCACCTTGTCTCTGTGCATAATCAATTGCTCCCGCGAGTGGGCTGAAATCAGCCAGTCATCGAGATAATTGAGTATGCGGATGCCCGCGAGCCAAAGGGACGCTAAGGCACCCTCCGCGAGTTTGGTGAAGACCCGCGGAGACAGAGAGAGCCCGAAGGGGAGGACCTTGTATTGCGTTCGACCTTCGAACGCAAACCGCAGAAACTGACGGTGGTGTGGAAGAATGGAGACATGGAAGTACGCGTCCTTCAGGTCTATGGCTGCAAACCAATCCCGAGGACGAACGCATTGGAGAATGTGCCTCTGCGTGAGCATTCTGAACGGCAGCCTGTGCAGACAGTGGTTCAAAATGCGCAGATCTAGGATTGGCCGTGACTCACCGCTCTTTTTGGGTATGATGAAGTACGGGCTGTAAAACCCACTCTCCATCTAGGGTGGAGGAACTGGCTCGATTGCACCCTTCGCCAGGAGGACAGCTATCTCCTCTCGCAAGACAGCGGCGGACAGGGGGCTGACCCTGGTGAAATACACGCCCGTGAACTTGAGGGGCCGTTTCGCGAACTGAATCGCATAACCGAGTCTGATTGTGCGTATGAGCCACCGCGAAGGGCTGGCCCGCGCTAACCAGGCAGGCAGAGCCCTCGCTAATGGAGTCATCGCTACAATCACTGACGTACCAGCGGTGAGGCAGTGCGGAGTGGGTGTGCTGATCCGGGAAGCGCGAGGGTCCCGCGGAAGAGCTGGAGGAGAGCGATTCGCTCTGGCTCCGCACCCTGACTCTGGAGAGGGGGCTCGAGGGTTGGGGGAAAGGAGACCGTCCCCCCAGCGCTTGTGAGCCACTGGCGAAGCCCAAAGAACCTGCAAACTGGAAAGCAGCGCGTCCCGGACTGGCAAGGTTCGTGCTGTCACATCCGGGGAAGGGGAAAAGTGATTGATGTTTTCGTGGCACTGAAAAGTACCGTTGGAATAGGGGCCCCGCCCTCCAACTCGGAAAGAGCAAGTTTCCTCTTCTCCGGATGGCCTGTCTCAGGGACACTTCGCGGTCAATTTACCGGACTTAACAGCGCCCTGGGCAGGGGGGGCTGCCTGCCGTCGAGGTGTTCGACGCGCCCGCTTTGCCGGTGGCGCAGGCGGGGCAGCACTCGTTGGCAGGCTTACGGTCCCGCTGATAGATGACATTACCCATCGCATCCGACTGCTCTCTCACCGCCTTGAATTCCTGGGTGAACTCACCGACAGTGTCGTCGAACAGGCCAGCCTGGGATATGGGCGAGTCAAGAAAGCAAACTTTGTCGATATCGCGCATATCGGCCAGGTTTAGCCAGAGGTGGCGTTCCTGGACCACTAGTGTGGACATCGTCCTCCCCAGCGCACACACGGCGGACTTAGTAGTCCGAAGAGCATAGTTGGTCACAGTGCGCTGCTCGTGTAACAAGCCTGGGTTAGACCCGCCCTTGTGCAGCTCGACCAGCGCCTGTGCTTGGTAGCGCTGGTAGGTGGCCATCGCGTGCAAGGCGGAAG